TTTCCCAACATGGCCTGCGCGTCAGAAAACACAGAAGTGAACTTAAAAAGTTAGAAAACAGTATTTTAGATTATAAACAGTATTTTAAGGGACTAGCCCGTAAGCGCAAAAAATAAAAACTGTATTCTATTTAAAAAAAAATTTAAAAAAATGAAGAGAATGAGGGGTCCCGTAAAGACCAAAAAGCTGAGCATTCGTGATGAAAATGAATGAACAAAAGAGCCACATACCTGCGTCCTTACACGTTTGGTTTCCAAAATTAAATTGAGCGAAAACGTGTTAAAAGGTTGCCAGAAAGTAACGAAGTAGCCTTAGGAGGGCTACCAGAATTAAAAAACAGTCACGTGGAAGCGCCATTGAAATGAAAAAGGAATTTGAAATATGTATGTATTTAAAATAAAGTAAGTAAAAATATACATACATAAAAATATTACTGTAATGAACTGTTAGTTATGAAAAAGAAAATGATACTCAAAAGAAGTGTTAGGTGTTAAACAAAAATTCGTACACAAATAAATTATAAGCAAAAAACTGTGATGAAACCTAATCAGGTATGTAACGAAAATTTAAATTAAAAAAAAATATGAACCGAAATGAATTATCCTAAAAAATATCCGATGGAATTCATTCATGTATGTTACGAAAATTTTAATTAAATAAAAAGAAATCTTACAGGGAAACTGGCGGCGCAGCGGTCGGATCGCTGAATATTGGTTTCATGAATTTGTAACATGCATAACAGACGTCCGTCCCTCATGCAGGTAGCCGCAGTATTACCTAAACGAAAAAAGGAAATGAATTGCTTATTTAAGAACATCTTAATAAAGAAAGAAAGAAACAGAAACGGGATTAAGAAATTGTGAGGTCTTATTAATGGCTAGACACCCAATAAAATAAAATGAAATCTTTAATTAATCAAAATACGGACATGGGAATAAATAACAGGAATCTCAGCGATGAGTAAAACGCGTACAAGAACATGTAAAAACAGAAGGCGAAAAATTCTCTTTTGCAGAAGAAAATGTGTGTGTGTGTGGGGGGGGGAAGTAGCCTCACAAAATAAGAGAAGTAAATAAAGATAAGATAAGTGGAAGTACAGGAACAGAGGCATAGAAATTAATATTTATTCAGTGCAAAATGTAGTAAATAAATGAACCTAAACTGTTGAGGTCAGTTTTAATCAACAGTTCGTGATCATACATGGAAAACTTTCTTAAACTGACGTTTGGTCTTCTTCACAGAGTATTGAATGTACAGGGAGGATAGAATGCAGTGTCCCTCTCTTTTTTAGTTAACTACTTCGATCTACATGTCATGTGGAAGTGAAAAGAAAATAGAATTGTTCACAGAATATCGAATGTACAGGGAGGAAATGAGTTTGATGAGCAGAAGTGAACGACAATTCATTCAAAAGAGACAAGGAAACAAGTACGCAGGGTCGACAGAGGATGAGGAAATCATTAGAATTGACAATGGCATGGAAATGAATTCATAACAGGTTCGAAAAGAGTCAAAAAAGCGCGTGAATTCGGTACCAAACGCCAGTAACGAAGCGCATTTCAATGCAGCTTTTATGTGCGTCACGCAGAAGTAAAGAATGAACACAGTGTCCCTTATCTGTTCAGGGTTTCTTTCAGATGCAAACAGAGTGGAAAAAAGAAGTAAATGAATGCAGTTTCTTTCTGAGAAAAAAAAAGGAATGAAAATAGTATAGTTCCGTTTTTTGACACTAGGTGGCGCCACCACACACCAAGGAAATCCCAGGGGAGCAGCTATTACGCCTCCCAACAACCATCTTTATTCCTTTTTGGATCTTCCTGCGTGTTGGCTGCTGATTGACGTCGCTCCTGCGGTGTTGCTGTTAGTAAGTATTGTAGTAAGTATTTTTTCAATACTTTCTTGCCTATTATGTCTGCTAATATGTCTTCAGTTACAGGTGAGTCTCCCGACCACGCTGTAGACGTACCCCCACGTGCTACTAGAATGGTGAAGAGAGAAGTGCCCCCGGACGGAAACCGAGCATGGCTATTTGTGTTTATAGCCTACCTCCTGTCGGTTGTAGTTTCGGGGCTTCCTCCGTGCTTTGGCCCAATAAAGGCTGCAATTACGGAGGAGTTTCCAGACACTTCGACAAGTACCCTTGGCCAATTTCCATCTTTGGTCAGCAACTTGAGTCTTTTGCTTTCCCCCATAGCTACTCTTGTGGTACTGAAATGTGGTCCTCGTTTGAGTCTTTTTCTAGGAGGACTTTTTTCTGTAATTGGACTAGGTTTAAGTTCTTTTGCTAAATGTGCTGGCTTCCTAGTTTTCAGTTACGGAGTTGTGGTCGGGATTGGTTCCAGTTTAATAGTTGCAAGTTTGCTCTCCCAAATTGCAGCTTTGTTTACCTCCCGCAAGCCTTTAGCTTTTGCCTTGTATATGTGCGGAGAGTGTACGGGGGCATTTGTGCTTCCTTTTTTAATCGATTTTCTTTTAGGTGAGTACGGGTGGCGCATGGTATTTTTTTGTTTTATGTGTTTTGAATGTGCCCACCTGTTTGGCTGCTGCTGCGTTCGAGAGGCCCGAATTTTATTTTGTCGAAATTTCCGAGGAAGTGGAAATTAAGAATCCTACGGAAGAAGAAAGGCCAGCAATGGTTGTTCCTATTCCCGAGGTTCCAATTTCAAGCTCCTTGAAATTATGGCATAATATCAGGGACTCAACAGGGTTGACGCTCCTGAAGAAATGGGAGTTGTGGTTGATGTTGGTGGCTATTGCTTCTCACGGATTTGGCAGTGCAGGCTTGAAGTCCATTTTTGAGAATGGCCTGAAGGAACACGAGTTCCCGATAGGACATACGTACTGCTTCTTGATGACGGTGTTTGTTCGATTCACATACGGCTTGTTTAGTGGGCAGTCTCGGATTCCAAGGAACTTGGAATACTTCCTATCGTCCTTGGCCAATGTTGGTGGCGCTATTTTAATGCTGGGCGTAGGTTGCGAGACAGTGGCTCACTATCTGGTCGTTTTGTGTCTAATGGCTATCGGCAATGGGATTTGGGGAGTTCTGACACCCGTCGTTATCGGCGAGAACGTAGGTTCTATCCCCAAAGCTTTCGCTTGGATCAAATGTATCCGGGGAATTCTGGCTCTCCTCTTCCCATTGTTGAAAGACCATGTGAAGGAAGACCGTGGTCAAGAGGTGGTGGACGCGATGAGTGCTGCGCTGGCAAGTTCGGCGGCAATAGTTTCACTTCTCTTTTTTCTGTTTAAGACATTGGGGAAGTGTTACCGATCAGCAACCGCAACTTCCACCCGATTGTAAATTTTTTTTGTAATTTAGTATGTAATTTTTTTAAAGTGTTTTCATGTGTAATTTCTTGTATATATGTATATTTTGACGCTTAACTAATTTAGTTATCAGCGTATTTTTTTAATTAATTGATTGTACATTTTTATGTGAACTTGACAAGCGTCAGACTTGCTTTGATCGCTTATTATTTTAGTGCTTAATATGCTTTCTTGTTTAACGCGAAACTTTTAAAGTTTTGAGTGTTTTTTTTTTAATTGATTGTATATTTTATGTGAACTTGACAAGCGTCAGACTTGCTTTGATCGCTTATTATTTTATTGCTTAATATGTTTTAAAAAATTGCATGCTTTCTTGTTTAACGCGAAACTTTTAGTTTTGAGTTTTTGTTTTTATACTATAAATTTATGCCTAATGATTGAACAGACTGGTTGCATGGGGTTTTCGTGGTTTCCCTCATGTGTCACGTAAATACGGACCAGTTTTTTCAAGTCATTTTTGTATTTATGTGAGAAGTCCTCCACGAAGGCATAAAATAAAGTTGAATGTAAATGAACACAAATAAATAAAACTGAAAACAAGCATGTTACAGGGAGGGAGACACAAATGCACAAATTCAATAAATACTTAAATAGGAATTTAACTGAATATACACACACATCTATATAAACACATGCTACACACATTATAATTTTGAAATTAAAAGAACATAAATAAAGTAGAAATATACATATAAAGAACATGTAACAGGGAGGGAAACACGTATGTAAAATGTAAGGCTACTTTCACAGCACATACTCGGGATTTCATAGCTGCACTTGCACTCATTCAATAAATATTTAAATAGAAATTAAATTGAATACACACACATCTATATGAACACATTAATTGTTAGAAGGAGTTACATTAATTGTTAGTATTATTGGAGTTAAATTAATTGTTACATTAATTGTTAGTATTATTGGAGTTACATTAATTGTTACATTAATTGTTAGTATTATTGGAGTTACATTAATTGTTAGAAGGAGGGAAACGCATATGTGATATGTAAGGCTACTATCACAGATTTTCGGGATTTCACACATGCAATAAATCAATAAATATTTCAATAGAAATTTAATCAAACACAAAAAACACATCTATATACATGCTCTCTCTCTCTCTCTCTCACTCACTCACTCACTCTCTCTCTATCTATCTATCTATCTATCTATCTATCTATCTATCTGTCTATCTGTCTGTCTATCTATCTATCTGTCTGTCTGTTTATCTATCTAACTCTATCTATCTGTCTGTCTGTCTGTCTATCTAACTCTATCTACCTATCTCTCTATCTATCTGTCTGACTCTATCTATCTATCTGTCTGTCTAACTATCTATCTATCTATCTATCTATCTATCTATATATATATGTCTGTCTATCTATCTATCTGTCTATCTAACTCTATCTATCTATCTATCTATCTATCTGTCTAACTCTGTCTATCTATGTGTCTGTCTCTATCTATCTATCTATCTATCTATTTTTATTCGAACTTGTGAAAACTACTGAATATCCATATGTTGTAATTATCGCTCTCACAACTTTTCTTATCATAATATATACATATTTGTATGTATATATTATCGAGTTGATTGATGAAAAAACTGTAAGGAACATTTGGAGAATCCTATTCTAGAGATTACATGTTATGCAAAGTTCAAACTATGTTAAAACAACAAATTGCACTCGAAAAAAAAAACCCTACATATTACAGAAGGACAACTGCACAGCAAACTCAAAATAGGTAGGCGAAAAAATCGTTGGACAGGTCCATTGAGACTGTAATTGGCTTTCCCAGTATGAAATGTAAGTAAAAGTTTGAAATTAATTATTTCTATTTATTATTAACGATGTCTCAAATGATCTGTCCCTTTTCCCAACATGGCCTGCGCGTCAGAAAACACAGAAGTGAACTTAAAAAGTTAGAAAACAGTATTTTAGATTATAAACAGTATTTTAAGGGACTAGCCCGTAAGCGCAAAAAATAAAAACTGTATTCTATTTTAAAAAAAAATTTAAAAAAATGAAGAGAATGAGGGGTCCCGTAAAGACCAAAAAGCTGAGCATTCGTGATGAAAATGAATGAACAAAAGAGCCACATACCTGCGTCCTTACACGTTTGGTTTCCAAAATTAAATTGAGCGAAAACGTGTTAAAAGGTTGCCAGAAAGTAACGAAGTAGCCTTAGGAGGGCTACCAGAATTAAAAAACAGTCACGTGGAAGCGCCATTGAAATGAAAAAGGAATTTGAAATATGTATGTATTTAAAATAAAGTAAGTAAAAATATACATACATAAAAATATTACTGTAATGAACTGTTAGTTATGAAAAAGAAAATGATACTCAAAAGAAGTGTTAGGTGTTAAACAAAAATTCGTACACAAATAAATTATAAGCAAAAAACTGTGATGAAACCTAATCAGGTATGTAACGAAAATTTAAATTAAAAAAAAATATGAACCGAAATGAATTATCCTAAAAAATATCCGATGGAATTCATTCATGTATGTTACGAAAATTTTAATTAAATAAAAAGAAATCTTACAGGGAAACTGGCGGCGCAGCGGTCGGATCGCTGAATATTGGTTTCATGAATTTGTAACATGCATAACAGACGTCCGTCCCTCATGCAGGTAGCCGCAGTATTACCTAAACGAAAAAAGGAAATGAATTGCTTATTTAAGAACATCTTAATAAAGAAAGAAAGAAACAGAAACGGGATTAAGAAATTGTGAGGTCTTATTAATGGCTAGACACCCAATAAAATAAAATGAAATCTTTAATTAATCAAAATACGGACATGGGAATAAATAACAGGAATCTCAGCGATGAGTAAAACGCGTACAAGAACATGTAAAAACAGAAGGCGAAAAATTCTCTTTTGCAGAAGAAAATGTGTGTGTGTGGGGGGGGGGGGAAGTAGCCTCACAAAATAAGAGAAGTAAATAAAGATAAGATAAGTGGAAGTACAGGAACAGAGGCATAGAAATTAATATTTATTCAGTGCAAAATCTAGTAAATAAATGAACCTAAACTGTTGAGGTCAGTTTTAATCAACAGTTCGTGATCATACATGGAAAACTTTCTTAAACTGACGACGTTTGGTCTTCTTCACAGAGTATTGAATGTACAGGGAGGAAATGAAAGAGTGCAGTGTCCCTCTCTTTTTTAGTTAACTACTTCGATCTACATGTCATGTGGAAGTGAAAAGAAAATAGAATTGTTCACAGAATATCGAATGTACAGGGAGGAAATGAGTTTGACGCGCAGAACTGAACGACAATTCATTCAAAACACACAAGGAAACAAGTACGCAGGGTCGACAGAGGATGAGGAAATCATTAGAATTGACAATGGCATGGAAATGAATTCATAACAGGTTCGAAAAGAGTCAAAAAAAAGGGCGTGAATTCGGTACCAAACGCCAGTAACGAAGCGCATTTCAATGCAGCTTTTATGTGCGTCACGCAGAAGTAAAGAATGAACACAGTGTCCCTTATCTGTTCAGGGTTTCTTTCAGATGCAAACAGAGTGGAAAAAAGAAGTAAATGAATGCAGTTTCTTTCTGAGAAAAAAAAAAGGAATGAAAATAGTATAGTTCCGTCTTTTGACACTAGGTGGCGCCACCACATACCAAGGAAATCCCAGGGGAGCAGCTATTACGCCTCCCAACAACCATCTTTATTCCTTTTTGGATCTTCCTGCGTGTTGGCTGCTGATTGACGTCGCTCCTGCGGTGTTGCTGTTAGTAAGTATTGTAGTAAGTATTTTTTCAATACTTTCTTGCCTATTATGTCTGCTAATATGTCTTCAGTTACAGGTGAGTCTCCCGACCACGCTGTAGACGTACCCCCCCACGTGCTACTAGAATGGTGAAGAGAGAAGTGCCCCCGGACGGAAACCGAGCATGGCTATTTGTGTTTATAGCCTACCTCCTGTCGGTTGTAGTTTCGGGGCTTCCTCCGTGCTTTGGCCCAATAAAGGCTGCAATTACGGAGGAGTTTCCAGACACTTCGACAAGTACCCTTGGCCAATTTCCATCTTTGGTCAGCAACTTGAGTCTTTTGCTTTCCCCCATAGCTACTCTTGTGGTACTGAAATGTGGTCCTCGTTTGAGTCTTTTTCTAGGAGGACTTTTTTCTGTAATTGGACTAGGTTTAAGTTCTTTTGCTAAATGTGCTGGCTTCCTAGTTTTCAGTTACGGAGTTGTGGTCGGGATTGGTTCCAGTTTAATAGTTGCAAGTTTGCTCTCCCAAATTGCAGCTTTGTTTACCTCCCGCAAGCCTTTAGCTTTTGCCTTGTATATGTGCGGAGAGTGTACGGGGGCATTTGTGCTTCCTTTTTTAATCGATTTTCTTTTAGGTGAGTACGGGTGGCGCATGGTATTTTTTGTTTTATGTGTTTTGAATGTGCCCACCTGTTTGGCTGCTGCTGCGTTCGAGAGGCCCGAATTTTATTTTGTCGAAATTTCCGAGGAAGTGGAAATTAAGAATCCTACGGAAGAAGAAAGGCCAGCAATGGTTGTTCCTATTCCCGAGGTTCCAATTTCAAGCTCCTTGAAATTATGGCATAATATCAGGGACTCAACAGGGTTGACGCTCCTGAAGAAATGGGAGTTGTGGTTGATGTTGGTGGCTATTGCTTCTCACGGATTTGGCAGTGCAGGCTTGAAGTCCATTTTTGAGAATGGCCTGAAGGAACACGAGTTCCCGATAGGACATACGTACTGCTTCTTGATGACGGTGTTTGTTCGATTCACATACGGCTTGTTTAGTGGGCAGTCTCGGATTCCAAGGAACTTGGAATACTTCCTATCGTCCTTGGCCAATGTTGGTGGCGCTATTTTAATGCTGGGCGTAGGTTGCGAGACAGTGGCTCACTATCTGGTCGTTTTGTGTCTAATGGCTATCGGCAATGGGATTTGGGGAGTTCTGACACCCGTCGTTATCGGCGAGAACGTAGGTTCTATCCCCAAAGCTTTCGCTTGGATCAAATGTATCCGGGGAATTCTGGCTCTCCTCTTCCCATTGTTGAAAGACCATGTGAAGCAAGACCGTGGTCAAGAGGTGGTGGACGCGATGAGTGCTGCGCTGGCAAGTTCGGCGGCAATAGTTTCACTTCTCTTTTTTCTGTTTAAGACATTGGGGAAGTGTTACCGATCAGCAACCGCAACTTCCACCCGATTGTAAATTTTTTTGTAATTTAGTATGTAATTTTTTTAAAGTGTTTTCATGTGTAATTTCTTGTATATATGTATATTTTGACGCTTAACTAATTTAGTTATCAGCGTATTTTTTTAATTGATTGTACATTTTTATGTGAACTTGACAAGCGTCAGACTTGCTTTGATCGCTTATTATTTTAGTGCTTAATATGCTTTCTTGTTTAACGCGAAACTTTTAAAGTTTTGAGTGTTTTTTTTTTAATTGATTGTATATTTTATGTGAACTTGACAAGCGTCAGACTTGCTTTGATCGCTTATTATTTTATTGCTTAATATGTTTTAAAAAATTGCATGCTTTCTTGTTTAACGCGAAACTTTTAGTTTTGAGTTTTTGTTTTTATAGCTATAAATTTATGCATAATGATTGAACAGACTGGTTGCATGGGGTTTTCGTGGTTTCCCTCATGTGTCACGTAAATACGGACCAGTTTTTTCAAGTCATTTTTGTATTTTATGTGAGAAGTCCTCCACGAAGGCATAAAATAAAGTTGAATGTAAATGAACACAAATAAATAAAACTGAAAACAAGCATGTTACAGGGAGGGAGACACAAATGCACAAATTCAATAAATACTTAAATAGGAATTTAACTGAATATACACACATCTATATAAACACATGCTACACACATTATAATTTTGAAATTAAAAGAACATAAATAAAGTAGAAATATACATATAAAGAACATGTAACAGGGAGGGAAACACGTATGTAAAATGTAAGGCTACTTTCACAGCACATACTCGGGATTTCATAGCTGCACTTGCACTCATTCAATAAATATTTAAATAGAAATTAAATTGAATACACACACATCTATATGAACACATTAATTGTTAGAAGGAGTTACATTAATTGTTAGTATTATTGGAGTTAAATTAATTGTTACATTAATTGTTAGTATTATTGGAGTTACATTAATTGTTACATTAATTGTTAGTATTATTATTGGAGTTACATTAATTGTTAGAAGGAGTTAGGGAAACGCATATGTGATATGTAAGGCTACTATCACAGATTTTCGGGATTTCACACATGCAATAAATCAATAAATATTTCAATAGAAATTTAATCAAACACAAAAAACACATCTATATACATGCTCTCTCTCTCTCTCTCTCACTCACTCACTCACTCTCTCTCTATCTATCTATCTATCTATCTATCTATCTGTGTCTGTCTGTCTATCTATCTATCTGTCTGTCTGTTTATCTATCTAACTCTATCTATCTGTCTGTCTGTCTGTCTATCTAACTCTATCTACCTATCTCTCTATCTATCTGTCTGACTCTATCTATCTATCTGTCTGTCTAACTATCTATCTGTCTATCTATCTATCTATATCTATATATATATGTCTGTCTATCTATCTCTCTATCTATCTATCTATCTATCTGTCTATCTCTGTCTATCTATGTGTCTGTCTCTATCTATCTATCTATCTATCTATTTTTATTCGAACTTGTGAAAACTACTGAATATCCATATGTTGTAATTATCGCTCTCACAACTTTTCTTATCATAATATATACATATATGTATGTATATATTATGATCGAGTTGATGAAAAAACTGTAAGGAACATTTGGAGAATCCTATTCTAGAGATTACATGTTATGCAAAGTTCAAACTATGTTAAAACAACAAATTGCACTCGAAAAAGAAAAACCCTACATATTACAGAAGGACAACTGCACAGCAAACTCAAAATAGGTAGGCGAAAAAATCGTTGGACAGGTCCATTGAGACTGTAATTGGCTTTCCCAGTACGAAATGTAAGTAAAAGTTTGAAATTAATTATTTCTATTTATTATTAACGATGTCTCAAATGATCTGTCCCTTTTCCCAACATGGCCTGCGCGTCAGAAAACACAGAAGTGAACTTAAAAAGTTAGAAAACAGTATTTTAGATTATAAACAGTATTTTAAGGGACTAGCCCGTAAGCGCAAAAAATAAAAACTGTATTCTATTTTAAAAAAAAAAAAAAAAATGAAGAGAATGAGGGGTCCCGTAAAGACCAAAAAGCTGAGCATTCGTGATGAAAATGAATGAACAAAAGAGCCACATACCTGCGTCCTTACACGTTTGGTTTCCAAAATTAAATTGAGCGAAAACGTGTTAAAAGGTTGCCAGAAAGTAACGAAGTAGCCTTAGGAGGGCTACCAGAATTAAAAAACAGTCACGTGGAAGCGCCATTGAAATGAAAAAGGAATTTGAAATATGTATGTATTTAAAATAAAGTAAGTAAAAATATACATACATAAAAATATTACTGTAATGAACTGTTTGTTAGTTATGAAAAAGAAAATGATACTCAAAAGAAGTGTTAGGTGTTAAACAAAAATTCGTACACAATAAATTAATTATAAGCAAAAAACTGTGATGAAACCTAATCAGGTATGTAACGAAAATTTAAATTAAAAAAAAAATATGAACCGAAATGAATTATCCTAAAAAAATATCCGATGGAATTCATTCATGTATGTTACGAAAATTTTAATTAAATAAAAAGAAATCTTACAGGGAAACTGGCGGCGCAGCGGTCGGATCGCTGAATATTGGTTTCATGAATTTGTAACATGCATAACAGACGTCCGTCCCTCATGCAGGTAGCCGCAGTATTACCTAAACGAAAAAAGGAAATGAATTGCTTATTTAAGAACATCTTAATAAAGAAAGAAAGAAACAGAAACGGGATTAAGAAATTGTGAGGTCTTATTAATGGCTAGACACCCAATAAAATAAAATGAAATCTTTAATTAATCAAAATACGGACATGGGAATAAATAACAGGAATCTCAGCGATGAGTAAAACGCGTACAAGAACATGTAAAAACAGAAGGCGAAAAATTCTCTTTTGCAGAAGAAAATGTGTGTGTGTGTGGGGGGGGGGGAAGTAGCCTCACAAAATAAGAGAAGTAAATAAAGATAAGATAAGTGGAAGTACAGGAACAGAGGCATAGAAATTAATATTTATTCAGTGCAAAATCTAGTAAATAAATGAACCTAAACTGTTGAGGTCAGTTTTAATCAACAGTTCGTGATCATACATGGAAAACTTTCTTAAACTGACGTTTGGTCTTCTTCACAGAGTATTGAATGTACAGGGAGGAAATGAAAGAGTGCAGTGTCCCTCTCTTTTTTAGTTAACTACTTCGATCTACATGTCATGTGGAAGTGAAAAGAAAATAGAATTGTTCACAGAATATCGAATGTACAGGGAGGAAATGAGTTTGACGCGCAGCAGAACTGAACGACAATTCATTCAAAACACACAGGAAACAAGTACGCAGGGTCGACAGAGGATGAGGAAATCATTAGAATTGACAATGGCATGGAAATGAATTCATAACAGGTTCGAAAAGAGTCAAAAAAAAGGGCGTGAATTCGGTACCAAACGCCAGTAACGAAGCGCATTTCAATGCAGCTTTTATGTGCGTCACGCAGAAGTAAAGAATGAACACACAGTGTCCCTTATCTGTTCAGGGTTTCTTTCAGATGCAAACAGAGTGGAAAAAAGAAGTAAATGAATGCAGTTTCTTTCTGAGAAAAAAAAAGGAATGAAAATAGTATAGTTCCGTTTTTTGACACTAGGTGGCGCCACCACATACCAAGGAAATCCCAGGGGAGCAGCTATTACGCCTCCCAACAACCATCTTTATTCCTTTTTGGATCTTCCTGCGTGTTGGCTGCTGATTGACGTCGCTCCTGCGGTGTTGCTGTTAGTAAGTATTGTAGTAAGTATTTTTTCAATACTTTCTTGCCTATTATGTCTGCTAATATGTCTTCAGTTACAGGTGAGTCTCCCGACCACGCTGTAGACGTACCCCCACGTGCTACTAGAATGGTGAAGAGAGAAGTGCCCCCGGACGGAAACCGAGCATGGCTATTTGTGTTTATAGCCTACCTCCTGTCGGTTGTAGTTTCGGGGCTTCCTCCGTGCTTTGGCCCAATAAAGGCTGCAATTACGGAGGAGTTTCCAGACACTTCGACAAGTACCCTTGGCCAATTTCCATCTTTGGTCAGCAACTTGAGTCTTTTGCTTTCCCCCATAGCTACTCTTGTGGTACTGAAATGTGGTCCTCGTTTGAGTCTTTTTCTAGGAGGACTTTTTTCTGTAATTGGACTAGGTTTAAGTTCTTTTGCTAAATGTGCTGGCTTCCTAGTTTTCAGTTACGGAGTTGTGGTCGGGATTGGTTCCAGTTTAATAGTTGCAAGTTTGCTCTCCCAAATTGCAGCTTTGTTTACCTCCCGCAAGCCTTTAGCTTTTGCCTTGTATATGTGCGGAGAGTGTACGGGGGCATTTGTGCTTCCTTTTTTAATCGATTTTCTTTTAGGTGAGTACGGGTGGCGCATGGTATTTTTTTGTTTTATGTGTTTTGAATGTGCCCACCTGTTTGGCTGCTGCTGCGTTCGAGAGGCCCGAATTTTATTTTGTCGAAATTTCCGAGGAAGTGGAAATTAAGAATCCTACGGAAGAAGAAAGGCCAGCAATGGTTGTTCCTATTCCCGAGGTTCCAATTTCAAGCTCCTTGAAATTATGGCATAATATCAGGGACTCAACAGGGTTGACGCTCCTGAAGAAATGGGAGTTGTGGTTGATGTTGGTGGCTATTGCTTCTCACGGATTTGGCAGTGCAGGCTTGAAGTCCATTTTTGAGAATGGCCTGAAGGAACACGAGTTCCCGATAGGACATACGTACTGCTACTCTGCTTCTTGATGACGGTGTTTGTTCGATTCACATACGGCTTGTTTAGTGGGCAGTCTCGGATTCCAAGGAACTTGGAATACTTCCTATCGTCCTTGGCCAATGTTGGTGGCGCTATTTTAATGCTGGGCGTAGGTTGCGAGACAGTGGCTCACTATCTGGTCGTTTTGTGTCTAATGGCTATCGGCAATGGGATTTGGGGAGTTCTGACACCCGTCGTTATCGGCGAGAACGTAGGTTCTATCCCCAAAGCTTTCGCTTGGATCAAATGTATCCGGGGAATTCTGGCTCTCCTCTTCCCATTGTTGAAAGACCATGTGAAGCAAGACCGTGGTCAAGAGGTGGTGGACGCGATGAGTGCTGCGCTGGCAAGTTCGGCGGCAATAGTTTCACTTCTCTTTTTTCTGTTTAAGACATTGGGGAAGTGTTACCGATCAGCAACCGCAACTTCCACCCGATTGTAAATTTTTTTGTAATTTAGTATGTAATTTTTTTAAAGTGTTTTCATGTGTAATTTCTTGTATATATGTATATTTTGACGCTTAACTAATTTAGTTATCAGCGTATTTTTTTAATTGATTGTACATTTTTATGTGAACTTGACAAGCGTCAGACTTGCTTTGATCGCTTATTATTTTAGTGCTTAATATGCTTTCTTGTTTAACGCGCGAAACTTTTAAAGTTTTGAGTGTTTTTTTTTTAATTGATTGTATATTTTATGTGAACTTGACAAGCGTCAGACTTGCTTTGATCGCTTATTATTTTATTGCTTAATATGTTTTAAAAAATTGCATGCTTTCTTGTTTAACGCGAAACTTTTAGTTTTGAGTTTTTGTTTTTATGCTATAAATTTATGCATAATGATTGAACAGACTGGTTGCATGGGGTTTTCGTGGTTTCCCTCATGTGTCACGTAAATACGGACCAGTTTTTTCAAGTCATTTTTGTATTTTATGTGAGAAGTCCTCCACGAAGGCATAAAATAAAGTTGAATGTAAATGAACACAAATAAATAAAACTGAAAACAAGCATGTTACAGGGAGGGAGACACAAATGCACAAATTCAATAAATACTTAAATAGGAATTTAACTGAATATACACACATCTATATAAACACATGCTACACACACACATTATAATTTTGAAATTAAAAGAACATAAATAAAGTAGAAATATACATATAAAGAACATGTAACAGGGAGGGAAACACGTATGTAAAATGTAAGGCTACTTTCACAGCACATACTCGGGATTTCATAGCTGCACTTGCACTCATTCAATAAATATTTAAATAGAAATTAAATTGAATACACACACATCTATATGAACACATTAATTGTTAGAAGGAGTTACATTAATTGTTAGTATTATTATTGGAGTTAAATTAATTGTTACATTAATTGTTAGTATTATTGGAGTTACATTAATTGTTAGAAGGACATTGTTAGAAGGAGGGAAACGCATATGTGATATGTAAGGCTACTATCACAGATTTTCGGGATTTCACACATGCAATAAATCAATAAATATTTCAATAGAAATTTAATCAAACACAAAAAACACATCTATATACATGCTCATGCTCTCTCTCTCTCACTCTATCTATCTATCTATCTATCTGTGTCTGTCTGTCTATCTATCTATCTATCTGTCTGTCTGTCTGTCTGTTTATCTATCTAACTCTATCTATCTATCTGTCTGTCTATCTAACTCTATCTATCTATCTGTCTGTCTATCTATCTATCTGTCTAACTATCTATCTATCTATCTGTCTGTCTATCTAACTCTATCTATCTATCTGTCTAACTCTGTCTATCTATGTGTCTGTCTCTATCTATCTATCTATCTATCTATCTATTTTTATTCGAACTTGTGAAAACTACTGAATATGCATATGTTGTAATTTTCGCTCTCACAACTTTTCTTATCATAATATATACATATTTGTATGTATATATTATGATCGAGTTGATGAAAAAACTGTAAGGAACATTTGGAGAATCCTATTCTAGAGATTACATGTTATGCAATGTTCAATCTATGTTAAAACAACAAATTGCACTCGAAAAAAAAAAACCCTACATATTACAGAAGGACAACTGCACAGCAAACTCAAAATAGGTAGGCGAAAAAATCGTTGGACAGGTCCATTGAGACTGTAATTGGCTTTCCCAGTATGAAATGTAAGTAAAAGTTTGAAATTAATTATTTCTATTTATTATTAACGATGTCTCAAATGATCTGTCCCTTTTCCCAACATGGCCTGCGCGTCAGAAAACACAGAAGTGAACTTAAAAAGTTAGAAAACAGTATTTTAGATTATAAACAGTATTTTAAGGGACTAGCCCGTAAGCGCAAAAAATAAAAACTGTATTCTATTTTAAAAAAAATAAAAAAAAAAAATGAAGAGAATGAGGGGTCCCGTAAAGACCAAAAAGCTGAGCATTCGTGATGAAAATGAATGAACAAAAGAGCCACATACCTGCGTCCTTACACGTTTGGTTTCCAAAATTAAATTGAGCGAAAACGTGTTAAAAGGTTGCCAGAAAGTAACGAAGTAGCCTTAGGAGGGCTACCAGAATTAAAAAACAGTCACGTGGAAGCGCCATTGAAATGAAAAAGGAATTTGAAATATGTATGTATTTAAAATAAAGTAAGTAAAAATATACATACATAAAAATATTACTGTAATGAACTGTTAGTTATGAAAAAGAAAATGATACTCAAAAGAAGTGTTAGGTGTTAAACAAAAATTCGTACACAAATAAATTATAAGCAAAAAACTGTGATGAAACCTAATCAGGTATGTAACGAAAATTTAAATTAAAAAAAAAATATGAACCGAAATGAATTATCCTAAAAAAATATCCGATGGAATTCATTCATGTATGTTACGAAAATTTTAATTAAATAAAAAGAAATCTTACAGGGAAACTGGCGGCGCAGCGGTCGGATCGCTGAATATTGGTTTCATGAATTTGTAACATGCATAACAGACGTCCGTCCCTCATGCAGGTAGCCGCAGTATTACCTAAACGAAAAAAGGAAATGAATTGCTTATTTAAGAACATCTTAATAAAGAAAGAAAGAAAGAAACAGAAACGGGATTAAGAAATTGTGAGGTCTTATTAATGGCTAGACACCCAATAAAATAAAATGAAATCTTTAATTAATCAAAATACGGACATGGGAATAAATAACAGGAATCTCAGCGATGAGTAAAACGCGTACAAGAACATGTAAAAACAGAAGGCGAAAAATTCTCTTTTGCAGAAGAAAATGTGTGTGTGTGTGGGGGGGGGGGGGAAGTAGCCTCACAAAATAAGAGAAGTAAATAAAGATAAGATAAGTGGAAGTACAGGAACAGAGGCATAGAAATTAATATTTATTCAGTGCAAAATCTAGTAAATAAATGAACCTAAACTGTTGAGGTCAGTTTTAATCAACAGTTCGTGATCATACATGGAAAACTTTCTTAAACTGACGTTTGGTCTTCTTCACAGAGTATTGAATGTACAGGGAGGAAATGAAAGAGTGGTAGAATGCAGTGTCCCTCTCTTTTTTAGTTAACTACTTCGATCTACATGTCATGTGGAAGTGAAAAGAAAATAGAATTGTTCACAGAATATCGAATGTACAGGGAGGAAATGAGTTTGACGCGCAGAACTGAACGACAATTCATTCAAAACACACAAGGAAACAAGTACGCAGGGTCGACAGAGGATGAGGAAATCATTAGAATTGACAATGGCATGGAAATGAATTCATAACAGGTTCGAAAAGAGTCAAAAAAAAGGGCGTGAATTCGGTACCAAACGCCAGTAACGAAGCGCATTTCAATGCAGCTTTTATGTGCGTCACGCAGAAGTAAAGAATGAACACAGTGTCCCTTATCTGTTCAGGGTTTCTTTCAGATGCAAACAGAGTGGAAAAAAGAAGTAAATGAATGCAGTTTCTTTCTGAGAAAAAAAAAGGAATGAAAATAGTATAGTTCCGTCTTTTGACACTAGGTGGCGCCACCACATACCAAGGAAATCCCAGGGGAGCAGCTATTACGCCTCCCAACAACCATCTTTATTCCTTTTTGGATCTTCCTGCGTGTTGGCTGCTGATTGACGTCGCTCCTGCGGTGTTGCTGTTAGTAAGTATTGTAGTAAGTATTTTTTTTTCAATACTTTCTTGCCTATTATGTCTGCTAATATGTCTTCAGTTACAGGTGAGTCTCCCGACCACGCTGTAGACGTACCCCCACGTGCTACTAGAATGGTGAAGAGAGAAGTGCCCCCGGACGGAAACCGAGCATGGCTATTTGTGTTTATAGCCTACCTCCTGTCGGTTGTAGTTTCGGGGCTTCCTCCGTGCTTTGGCCCAATAAAGGCTGCAATTACGGAGGAGTTTCCAGACACTTCGACAAGTACCCTTGGCCAATTTCCATCTTTGGTCAGCAACTTGAGTCTTTTGCTTTCCCCCATAGCTACTCTTGTGGTACTGAAATGTGGTCCTCGTTTGAGTCTTTTTCTAGGAGGACTTTTTTCTGTAATTGGACTAGGTTTAAGTTCTTTTGCTAAATGTGCTGGCTTCCTAGTTTTCAGTTACGGAGTTGTGGTCGGGATTGGTTCCAGTTTAATAGTTGCAAGTTTGCTCTCCCAAATTGCAGCTTTGTTTACCTCCCGCAAGCCTTTAGCTTTTGCCTTGTATATGTGCGGAGAGTGTACGGGGGCATTTGTGCTTCCTTTTTTAATCGATTTTCTTTTAGGTGAGTACGGGTGGCGCATGGTATTTTTTGTTTTATGTGTTTTGAATGTGCCCACCTCTTTGGCTGCTGCTGCGTTCGAGAGGCCCGAATTTTATTTTGTCGAAATTTCCGAGGAAGTGGAAATTAAGAATCCTACGGAAGAAGAAAGGCCAGCAATGGTTGTTCCTATTCCCGAGGTTCCAATTTCAAGCTCCTTGAAATTATGGCATAATATCAGGGACTCAACAGGGTTGACGCTCCTGAAGAAATGGGAGTTGTGGTTGATGTTGGTGGCTATTGCTTCTCACGGATTTGGCAGTGCAGGCTTGAAGTCCATTTTTGAGAATGGCCTGAAGGAACACGAGTTCCCGATAGGACATACGTACTGCTTCTTGATGACGGTGTTTGTTCGATTCACATACGGCTTGTTTAGTGGGCAGTCTCGGATTCCAAGGAACTTGGAATACTTCCTATCGTCCTTGGCCAATGTTGGTGGCGCTATTTTAATGCTGGGCGTAGGTTGCGAGACAGTGGCTCACTATCTGGTCGTTTTGTGTCTAATGGCTATCGGCAATGGGATTTGGGGAGTTCTGACACCCGTCGTTATCGGCGAGAACGTAGGTTCTATCCCCAAAGCTTTCGCTTGGATCAAATGTATCCGGGGAATTCTGGCTCTCCTCTTCCCATTGTTGAAAGACCATGTGAAGCAAGACCGTGGTCAAGAGGTGGTGGACGCGATGAGTGCTGCGCTGGCAAGTTCGGCGGCAATAGTTTCACTTCTCTTTTTTCTGTTTAAGACATTGGGGAAGTGTTACCGATCAGCAACCGCAACTTCCACCCGATTGTAAATTTTTTTGTAATTTAGTATGTAATTTTTTTAAAGTGTTTTCATGTGTAATTTCTTGTATATATGTATATTTTGACGCTTAACTAATTTAGTTATCAGCGTATTTTTTTAATTGATTGTACATTTTTATGTGAACTTGACAAGCGTCAGACTTGCTTTGATCGCTTATTATTTTAGTGCTTAATATGCTTTCTTGTTTAACGCGAAACTTTTAAAGTTTTGAGTGTTTTTTTTTTAATTGATTGTATATTTTATGTGAACTTGACAAGCGTCAGACTTGCTTTGATCGCTTATTATTTTATTGCTTAATATGTTTTAAAAAATTGCATGCTTTCTTGTTTAACGCGAAACTTTTAGTTTTGAGTTTTTGTTTTTATGCTATAAATTTATGCATAATGATTGAACAGACTGGTTGCATGGGGTTTTCGTGGTTTCCCTCATGTGTCACGTAAATACGGACCAGTTTTTTCAAGTCATTTTTGTATTTTATGTGAGAAGTCCTCCACGAAGGCATAAAATAAAGTTGAATGTAAATGAACACAAATAAATAAAACTGAAAACAAGCATGTTACAGGGAGGGAGACACAAATGCACAAATTCAATAAATACTTAAATAGGAATTTAACTGAATATACACACATCTATATAAACACATGCTACACACATTATAATTTTGAAATTAAAAGAACATAAATAAAGTAGAAATATACATATAAAGAACATGTAACAGGGAGGGAAACACGTATGTAAAATGTAAGGCTACTTTCACAGCACATACTCGGGATTTCATAGCTGCACTTGCACTCATTCAATAAATATTTAAATAGAAATTAAATTGAATACACACACATCTATATGAACACATTAATTGTTAGAAGGAGTTACATTAATTGTTAGTATTATTGGAGTTAAATTAATTGTTACATTAATTGTTAGTATTATTGGAGTTACATTAATTGTTAGAAGGACATTGTTAGAAGGAGGGAAACGCATATGTGATATGTAAGGCTACTATCACAGATTTTCGGGATTTCACACATGCAATAAATCAATAAATATTTCAATAGAAATTTAATCAAACACAAAAAACACATCTATATACATGCTCTCTCTCTCTCTCATCTCTCTCTATCTATCTATCTATCTGTGTCTGTCTGTCTATCTATCTATCTATCTATCTGTCTGTCTGTCTGTTTATCTATCTAACTCTATCTATCTATCTGTCTGTCTATCTAACTCTATCTACCTATCTATCTGTCTGTCTGTCTATCTATCTATCTGTCTAACTATCTATCTGTCTATCTAACTCTATCTATCTATCTGTCTAACTCTGTCTATCTATGTGTCTGTCTCTATCTATCTATCTATCTATCTATTTTTTATTCGAACTTGTGAAAACTACTGAATATGCATATGTTGTAATTTTCGCTCTCACAACTTTTCTTATCATAATATATACATATTTGTATGTATATATTATGATCGAGTTGATGAAAAAACTGTAAGGAACATTTGGAGAATCCTATTCTAGAGATTACATGTTATGCAATGTTCAATCTATGTTAAAACAACAAATTGCACTCGAAAAAAAAAAACCCTACATATTACAGAAGGACAACTGCACAGCAAACTCAAAATAGGTAGGCGAAAAAATCGTTGGACAGGTCCATTGAGACTGTAATTGGCTTTCCCAGTATGAAATGTAAGTAAAAGTTTGAAATTAATTATTTCTATTTATTATTAACGATGTCTCAAATGATCTGTCCCTTTTCCCAACATGGCCTGCGCGTCAGAAAACACAGAAGTGAACTTAAAAAGTTAGAAAACAGTATTTTAGATTATAAACAGTATTTTAAGGGACTAGCCCGTAAGCGCAAAAAATAAAAACTGTATTCTATTTTAAAAAAAAATAAAAAAAAATGAAGAGAATGAGGGGTCCCGTAAAGACCAAAAAGCTGAGCATTCGTGATGAAAATGAATGAACAAAAGAGCCACATACCTGCGTCCTTACACGTTTGGTTTCCAAAATTAAATTGAGCGAAAACGTGTTAAAAGGTTGCCAGAAAGTAACGAAGTAGCCTTAGGAGGGCTACCAGAATTAAAAAACAGTCACGTGGAAGCGCCATTGAAATGAAAAAGGAATTTGAAATATGTATGTATTTAAAATAAAGTAAGTAAAAATATACATACATAAAAATATTACTGTAATGAACTGTTAGTTATGAAAAAGAAAATGATACTCAAAAGAAGTGTTAGGTGTTAAACAAAAATTCGTACACAAATAAATTATAAGCAAAAAACTGTGATGAAACCTAATCAGGTATGTAACGAAAATTTAAATTAAAAAAAAAATATGAACCGAAATGAATTATCCTAAAAAATATCCGATGGAATTCATTCATGTATGTTACGAAAATTTTAATTAAATAAAAAGAAATCTTACAGGGAAACTGGCGGCGCAGCGGTCGGATCGCTGAATATTGGTTTCATGAATTTGTAACATGCATAACAGACGTCCGTCCCTCATGCAGGTAGCCGCAGTATTACCTAAACGAAAAAAGGAAATGAATTGCTTATTTAAGAACATCTTAATAAAGAAAGAAAGAAACAGAAACGGGATTAAGAAATTGTGAGGTCTTATTAATGGCTAGACACCCAATAAAATAAAATGAAATCTTTAATTAATCAAAATACGGACATGGGAATAAATAACAGGAATCTCAGCGATGAGTAAAACGCGTACAAGAACATGTAAAACAGAAGAAGGCGAAAAATTTCTCTTTTGCAGAAGAAAATGTGTGTGTGTGTGGGGGGGGGGGGGGGGGAAGTAGCCTCACAAAATAAGAGAAGTAAATAAAGATAAGATAAGTGGAAGTACAGGAACAGAGGCATAGAAATTAATATTTATTCAGTGCAAAATCTAGTAAATAAATGAACCTAAACTGTTGAGGTCAGTTTTAATCAACAGTTCGTGATCATACATGGAAAACTTTCTTAAACTGACGTTTGGTCTTCTTCACAGAGTATTGAATGTACAGGGAGGAAATGAAAGAGTGGTAGAATGCAGTGTCCCTCTCTTTTTTAGTTAACTACTTCGATCTACATGTCATGTGGAAGTGAAAAGAAAATAGAATTGTTCACAGAATATCGAATGTACAGGGAGGAAATGAGTTTGACGCGCAGAACTGAACGACAATTCATTCAAAACACACAAGGAAACAAGTACGCAGGGTCGACAGAGGATGAGGAAATCATTAGAATTGACAATGGCATGGAAATGAATTCATAACAGGTTCGAAAAGAGTCAAAAAAAAGGGCGTGAATTCGGTACCAAACGCCAGTAACGAAGCGCATTTCAATGCAGCTTTTATGTGCGTCACGCAGAAGTAAAGAATGAACACAGTGTCCCTTATCTGTTCAGGGTTTCTTTCAGATGCAAACAGAGTGGAAAAAAGAAGTAAATGAATGCAGTTTCTTTCTGAGAAAAAAAGGAATGAAAATAGTATAGTTCCGTCTTTTGACACTAGGTGGCGCCACCACATACCAAGGAAATCCCAGGGGAGCAGCTATTACGCCTCCCAACAACCATCTTTATTCCTTTTTGGATCTTCCTGCGTGTTGGCTGCTGATTGACGTCGCTCCTGCGGTGTTGCTGTTAGTAAGTATTTTTTCAATACTTTCTTGCCTATTATGTCTGCTAATATGTCTTCAGTTACAGGTGAGTCTCCCGACCACGCTGTAGACGTACCCCCACGTGCTACTAGAATGGTGAAGAGAGAAGTGCCCCCGGACGGAAACCGAGCATGGCTATTTGTGTTTATAGCCTACCTCCTGTCGGTTGTAGTTTCGGGGCTTCCTCCGTGCTTTGGCCCAATAAAGGCTGCAATTACGGAGGAGTTTCCAGACACTTCGACAAGTACCCTTGGCCAATTTCCATCTTTGGTCAGCAACTTGAGTCTTTTGCTTTCCCCCATAGCTACTCTTGTGGTACTGAAATGTGGTCCTCGTTTGAGTCTTTTTCTAGGAGGACTTTTTTCTGTAATTGGACTAGGTTTAAGTTCTTTTGCTAAATGTGCTGGCTTCCTAGTTTTCAGTTACGGAGTTGTGGTCGGGATTGGTTCCAGTTTAATAGTTGCAAGTTTGCTCTCCCAAATTGCAGCTTTGTTTACCTCCCGCAAGCCTTTAGCTTTTGCCTTGTATATGTGCGGAGAGTGTACGGGGGCATTTGTGCTTCCTTTTTTAATCGATTTTCTTTTAGGTGAGTACGGGTGGCGCATGGTATTTTTTGTTTTATGTGTTTTGAATGTGCCCACCTCTTTGGCTGCTGCTGCGTTCGAGAGGCCCGAATTTTATTTTGTCGAAATTTCCGAGGAAGTGGAAATTAAGAATCCTACGGAAGAAGAAAGGCCAGCAATGGTTGTTCCTATTCCCGAGGTTCCAATTTCAAGCTCCTTGAAATTATGGCATAATATCAGGGACTCAACAGGGTTGACGCTCCTGAAGAAATGGGAGTTGTGGTTGATGTTGGTGGCTATTGCTTCTCACGGATTTGGCAGTGCAGGCTTGAAGTCCATTTTTGAGAATGGCCTGAAGGAACACGAGTTCCCGATAGGACATACGTACTGCTTCTTGATGACGGTGTTTGTTCGATTCACATACGGCTTGTTTAGTGGGCAGTCTCGGATTCCAAGGAACTTGGAATACTTCCTATCGTCCTTGGCCAATGTTGGTGGCGCTATTTTAATGCTGGGCGTAGGTTGCGAGACAGTGGCTCACTATCTGGTCGTTTTGTGTCTAATGGCTATCGGCAATGGGATTTGGGGAGTTCTGACACCCGTCGTTATCGGCGAGAACGTAGGTTCTATCCCCAAAGCTTTCGCTTGGATCAAATGTATCCGGGGAACTCTGGCTCTCCTCTTCCCATTGTTGAAAGACCATGTGAAGCAAGACCGTGGTCAAGAGGTGGTGGACGCGATGAGTGCTGCGCTGGCAAGTTCGGCGGCAATAGTTTCACTTCTCTTTTTTCTGTTTAAGACATTGGGGAAGTGTTACCGATCAGCAACCGCAACTTCCACCCGATTGTAAATTTTTTTGTAATTTAGTATGTAATTTTTTTAAAGTGTTTTCATGTGTAATTTCTTGTATATATGTATATTTTGACGCTTAACTAATTTAGTTATCAGCGTATTTTTTTAATTGATTGTACATTTTTATGTGAACTTGACAAGCGTCAGACTTGCTTTGATCGCTTATTATTTTAGTGCTTAATATGCTTTTTTGTTTAACGCGAAACTTTTAAAGTTTTGAGTGTTTTTTTTTTAATTGATTGTATATTTTATGTGAACTTGACAAGCGTCAGACTTGCTTTGATCGCTTATTATTTTATTGCTTAATATGTTTTAAAAAATTGCATGCTTTCTTGTTTAACGCGAAACTTTTAGTTTTGAGTTTTTGTTTTTATGCTATAAATTTATGCATAATGATTGAACAGACTGGTTGCATGGGGTTTTCGTGGTTTCCCTCATGTGTCACGTAAATACGGACCAGTTTTTTCAAGTCATTTTTGTATTTTATGTGAGAAGTCCTCCACGAAGGCATAAAATAAAGTTGAATGTAAATGAACACAAATAAATAAAACTGAAAACAAGCATGTTACAGGGAGGGAGACACAAATGCACAAATTCAATAAATACTTAAATAGGAATTTAACTGAATATACACACATCTATATAAACACATGCTACACACATTATAATTTTGAAATTAAAAGAACATAAATAAAGTAGAAATATACATATAAAGAACATGTAACAGGGAGGGAAACACGTATGTAAAATGTAAGGCTACTTTCACAGCACATACTCGGGATTTCATAGCTGCACTTGCACTCATTCAATAAATATTTAAATAGAAATTAAATTGAATACACACACATCTATATGAACACATTAATTGTTAGAAGGAGTTACATTAATTGTTAGTATTATTGGAGTTAAATTAATTGTTACATTAATTGTTAGTATTATTGGAGTTACATTAATTGTTAGAAGGACATTGTTAGAAGGAGGGAAACGCATATGTGATATGTAAGGCTACTATCACAGATTTTCGGGATTTCACACATGCAATAAATCAATAAATATTTCAATAGAAATTTAATCAAACACAAAAAACACATCTATATACATGCTCTCTCTCTCACTCACTCACTCTCTCTCTATCTATCTATCTGTGTCTGTCTGTCTATCTATCTATCTATCTGTCTGTCTGTCTGTCTGTTTTTATCTATCTAACTCTATCTATCTATCTGTCTGTCTGTCTGTCTATCTAACTCTATCTACCTATCTATCTGTCTGTCTATCTATCTATCTGTCTATCTATCTATCTATCTGTCTGTCTATCTAACTCTATCTATCTATCTATCTAACTCTGTCTATCTATGTGTCTGTCTCTATCTATCTATCTATCTATCTATTTTTATTCGAACTTGTGAAACTACTACTGAATATGCATATGTTGTAATTTTCGCTCTCACAACTTTTCTTATCATAATATATACATATTTGTATGTATATATTATGATCGAGTTGATGAAAAAACTGTAAGGAACATTTGGAGAATCCTATTCTAGAGATTACATGTTATGCAATGTTCAATCTATGTTAAAACAACAAATTGCACTCGAAAAAAAAAAACCCTACATATTACAGAAGGACAACTGCACAGCAAACTCAAAATAGGTAGGCGAAAAAATCGTTGGACAGGTCCATTGAGACTGTAATTGGCTTTCCCAGTATGAAATGTAAGTAAAAGTTTGAAATTAATTATTTCTATTTATTATTAACGATGTCTCAAATGATCTGTCCCTTTTCCCAACATGGCCTGCGCGTCAGAAAACACAGAAGTGAACTTAAAAAGTTAGAAAACAGTATTTTAGATTATAAACAGTATTTTAAGGGACTAGCCCGTAAGCGCAAAAAATAAAAACTGTATTCTATTTTAAAAAAAAATAAAAAAAAATGAAGAGAATGAGGGGTCCCGTAAAGACCAAAAAGCTGAGCATTCGTGATGAAAATGAATGAACAAAAGAGCCACATACCTGCGTCCTTACACGTTTGGTTTCCAAAATTAAATTGAGCGAAAACGTGTTAAAAGGTTGCCAGAAAGTAACGAAGTAGCCTTAGGAGGGCTACCAGAATTAAAAAACAGTCACGTGGAAGCGCCATTGAAATGAAAAAGGAATTTGAAATATGTATGTATTTAAAATAAAGTAAGTAAAAATATACATACATAAAAATATTACTGTAATGAACTGTTAGTTATGAAAAAGAAAATGATACTCAAAAGAAGTGTTAGGTGTTAAACAAAAATTCGTACACAAATAAATTATAAGCAAAAAACTGTGATGAAACCTAATCAGGTATGTAACGAAAATTTAAATTAAAAAAAAAAATATGAACCGAAATGAATTATCCTAAAAAAATATCCGATGGAATTCATTCATGTATGTTACGAAAATTTTAATTAAATAAAAAGAAATCTTACAGGGAAACTGGCGGCGCAGCGGTCGGATCGCTGAATATTGGTTTCATGAATTTGTAACATGCATAACAGACGTCCGTCCCTCATGCAGGTAGCCGCAGTATTACCTAAACGAAAAAAGGAAATGAATTGCTTATTTAAGAACATCTTAATAAAGAAAGAAAGAAAGAAACAGAAACGGGATTAAGAAATTGTGAGGTCTTATTAATGGCTAGACACCCAATAAAATAAAATGAAATCTTTAATTAATCAAAATACGGACATGGGAATAAATAACAGGAATCTCAGCGATGAGTAAAACGCGTACAAGAACATGTAAAAACAGAAGGCGAAAATTTCTCTTTTGCAGAAGAAAATGTGTGTGTGTGTGGGGGGGGGGGGAAGTAGCCTCACAAAATAAGAGAAGTAAATAAAGATAAGATAAGTGGAAGTACAGGAACAGAGGCATAGAAATTAATATTTATTCAGTGCAAAATCTAGTAAATAAATGAACCTAAACTGTTGAGGTCAGTTTTAATCAACAGTTCGTGATCATACATGGAAAACTTTCTTAAACTGACGTTTGGTCTTCTTCACAGAGTATTGAATGTACAGGGAGGAAATGAAAGAGTGGTAGAATGCAGTCCCTCTCTTTTTTAGTTAACTACTTCGATCTACATGTCATGTGGAAGTGAAAAGAAAATAGAATTGTTCACAGAATATCGAATGTACAGGGAGGAAATGAGTTTGACGCGCAGAACTGAACGACAATTCATTCAAAACACACAAGGAAACAAGTACGCAGGGTCGACAGAGGATGAGGAAATCATTAGAATTGACAATGGCATGGAAATGAATTCATAACAGGTTCGAAAAGAGTCAAAAAAAGGGCGTGAATTCGGTACCAAACGCCAGTAACGAAGCGCATTTCAATGCAGCTGTTATGTGCGTCACGCAGAAGTAAAGAATGAACACAGTGTCCCTTATCTGTTCAGGGTTTCTTTCAGATGCAAACAGAGTGGAAAAAGAAGTAAATGAATGCAGTTTCTTTCGGAGAAAAAAAGGAATGAAAATAGTATACTTCCGTTTTTTTTACACTAGGTGGCGCCACCACATACCAAGGAAATCCCAGAGGAGCAGCTATTACGCCTCCCAACAACAATCTTTATTCCTTTTTGGATCTTCCTGCGTGTTGGCTGCTGTTTGACGTCGCTCCTGCGGTGTTGCTGTTAGTAAGTATTGTAGTAAGTTCAATACTTTCAATACTTTCTTGCCTATTATGTCTGCTAATATGTCTTCAGTTACAGGTGAGTCTCCCGACCACGCTGTAGACGTACCCCCACGTGCTACTAGAATGGTGAAGAGAGAAGTGCCCCCGGACGGAAACCGAGCATGGCTATTTGTGTTTATAGCCTACCTCCTGTCGGTTGTAGTTTCGGGGCTTCCTCCGTGCTTTGGCCCAATAAAGGCTGCAATTACGGAGGAGTTTCCAGACACTTCGACAAGTACCCTTGGCCAATTTCCATCTTTGGTCAGCAACTTGAGTCTTTTGCTTTCCCCCATAGCTACTCTTGTGGTACTGAAATGTGGTCCTCGTTTGAGTCTTTTTCTAGGAGGACTTTTTTCTGTAATTGGACTAGGTTTAAGTTCTTTTGCTAAATGTGCTGGCTTCCTAGTTTTCAGTTACGGAGTTGTGGTCGGGATTGGTTCCAGTTTAATAGTTGCAAGTTTGCTCTCCCAAATTGCAGCTTTGTTTACCTCCCGCAAGCCTTTAGCTTTTGCCTTGTATATGTGCGGAGAGTGTACGGGGGCATTTGTGCTTCCTTTTTTAATCGATTTTCTTTTAGGTGAGTACGGGTGGCGCATGGTATTTTTTGTTTTATGTGTTTTGAATGTGCCCACCTCTTTGGCTGCTGCTGCGTTCGAGAGGCCCGAATTTTATTTTGTCGAAATTTCCGAGGAAGTGGAAATTAAGAATCCTACGGAAGAAGAAAGGCCAGCAATGGTTGTTCCTATTCCCGAGGTTCCAATTTCAAGCTCCTTGAAATTATGGCATAATATCAGGGACTCAACAGGGTTGACGCTCCTGAAGAAATGGGAGTTGTGGTTGATGTTGGTGGCTATTGCTTCTCACGGATTTGGCAGTGCAGGCTTGAAGTCCATTTTTGAGAATGGCCTGAAGGAACACGAGTTCCCGATAGGACATACGTACTGCTTCTTGATGACGGTGTTTGTTCGATTCACATACGGCTTGTTTAGTGGGCAGTCTCGGATTCCAAGGAACTTGGAATACTTCCTATCGTCCTTGGCCAATGTTGGTGGCGCTATTTTAATGCTGGGCGTAGGTTGCGAGACAGTGGCTCACTATCTGGTCGTTTTGTGTCTAATGGCTATCGGCAATGGGATTTGGGGAGTTCTGACACCCGTCGTTATCGGCGAGAACGTAGGTTCTATCCCCAAAGCTTTCGCTTGGATCAAATGTATCCGGGGAACTCTGGCTCTCCTCTTCCCATTGTTGAAAGACCATGTGAAGCAAGACCGTGGTCAAGAGGTGGTGGACGCGATGAGTGCTGCGCTGGCAAGTTCGGCGGCAATAGTTTCACTTCTCTTTTTTCTGTTTAAGACATTGGGGAAGTGTTACCGATCAGCAACCGCAACTTCCACCCGATTGTAAATTTTTTTGTAATTTAGTATGTAATTTTTTTAAAGTGTTTTCATGTGTAATTTCTTGTATATATGTATATTTTGACGCTTAACTAATTTAGTTATCAGCGTATTTTTTTAATTGATTGTACATTTTTATGTGAACTTGACAAGCGTCAGACTTGCTTTGATCGCTTATTATTTTAGTGCTTAATATGCTTTCTTGTTTAACGCGAAACTTTTAAAGTTTTGAGTGTTTTTTTTTTAATTGATTGTATATTTTATGTGAACTTGACAAGCGTCAGACTTGCTTTGATCGCTTATTATTTTATTGCTTAATATGTTTTAAAAAATTGCATGCTTTCTTGTTTAACGCGAAACTTTTAGTTTTGAGTTTTTGTTTTTATGCTATAAATTTATGCATAATGATTGAACAGACTGGTTGCATGGGGTTTTCGTGGTTTCCCTCATGTGTCACGTAAATACGGACCAGTTTTTTCAAGTCATTTTTGTATTTTATGTGAGAAGTCCTCCACGAAGGCATAAAATAAAGTTGAATGTAAATGAACACAAATAAATAAAACTGAAAACAAGCATGTTACAGGGAGGGAGACACAAATGCACAAATTCAATAAATACTTAAATAGGAATTTAACTGAATATACACACACATCTATATAAACACATGCTGCTACACACATTATAATTTTGAAATTAAAAGAACATAAATAAAGTAGAAATATACATATAAAGAACATGTAACAGGGAGGGAAACACGTATGTAAAATGTAAGGCTACTTTCACAGCACATACTCGGGATTTCATAGCTGCACTTGCACTCATTCAATAAATATTTAAATAGAAATTAAATTGAATACACACACATCTATATGAACACATTAATTGTTAGAAGGAGTTACATTAATTGTTAGTATTATTGGAGTTAAATTAATTGTTACATTAATTGTTAGTATTATTGGAGTTACATTAATTGTTAGAAGGACATTGTTAGAAGGAGGGAAACGCATATGTGATATGTAAGGCTACTATCACAGATTTTCGGGATTTCACACATGCAATAAATCAATAAATATTTCAATAGAAATTTAATCAAACACAAAAAACACATCTATATACATGCTCTCTCTCTCTATCTATCTATCTATCTATCTATCTGTGTCTGTCTGTCTATCTATCTATCTATCTGTCTGTCTGTCTGTCTGTTTATCTATCTAACTCTATCTATCTATCTATCTGTCTGTCTGTCTGTCTATCTAACTCTATCTACCTATCTGTCTGTCTGTCTATCTATCTATCTATCTATCTATCTATCTGTCTCTATCTAACTCTATCTATCTATCTATCTATCTATCTGTCTATCTATGTGTCTGTCTCTATCTATCTATCTATCTATCTATTTTTATTCGAACTTGTGAAAACTACTGAATATGCATATGTTGTAATTATCGCTCTCACAACTTTTCTTATCATAATATATACATATTTGTATGTATATATTATGATCGAGTTGATGAAAAAACTGTAAGGAACATTTGGAGAATCCTATTCTAGAGATTACATGTTATGCAATGTTCAATCTATGTTAAAACAACAAATTGCACTCGAAAAAAAAAAACCCTACATATTACAGAAGGACAACTGCACAGCAAACTCAAAATAGGTAGGCGAAAAAATCGTTGGACAGGTCCATTGAGACTGTAATTGGCTTTCCCAGTATGAAATGTAAGTAAAAGTTTGAAATTAATTATTTCTATTTATTATTAACGATGTCTCAAATGATCTGTCCCTTTTCCCAACATGGCCTGCGCGTCAGAAACAACAGAAGTGAACTTAAAAAGTTAGAAAACAGTATTTTAGATTATAAACAGTATTTTAAGGGACTAGCCCGTAAGCGCAAAAAATAAAAACTGTATTCTATTTTAAAAAAAAATAAAAAAAAATGAAGAGAATGAGGGGTCCCGTAAAGACCAAAAAGCTGAGCATTCGTGATGAAAATGAATGAACAAAAGAGCCACATACCTGCGTCCTTACACGTTTGGTTTCCAAAATTAAATTGAGCGAAAACGTGTTAAAAGGTTGCCAGAAAGTAACGAAGTAGCCTTAGGAGGGCTACCAGAATTAAAAAACAGTCACGTGGAAGCGCCATTGAAATGAAAAAGGAATTTGAAATATGTATGTATTTAAAATAAAGTAAGTAAAAATATACATACATAAAAATATTACTGTAATGAACTGTTAGTTATGAAAAAGAAAATGATACTCAAAAGAAGTGTTAGGTGTTAAACAAAAATTCGTACACAAATAAATTATAAGCAAAAAACTGTGATGAAACCTAATCAGGTATGTAACGAAAATTTAAATTAAAAAAAAAATATGAACCGAAATGAATTATCCTAAAAAATATCCGATGGAATTCATTCATGTATGTTACGAAAATTTTAATTAAATAAAAAGAAATCTTACAGGGAAACTGGCGGCGCAGCGGTCGGATCGCTGAATATTGGTTTCATGAATTTGTAACATGCATAACAGACGTCCGTCCCTCATGCAGGTAGCCGCAGTATTACCTAAACGAAAAAAGGAAATGAATTGCTTATTTAAGAACATCTTAATAAAGAAAGAAAGAAAGAAACAGAAACGGGATTAAGAAATTGTGAGGTCTTATTAATGGCTAGACACCCAATAAAATAAAATGAAATCTTTAATTAATCAAAATACGGACATGGGAATAAATAACAGGAATCTCAGCGATGA